AACCATTCATTTTTATTTTCTATATTATCAAATAAAAAGACCACATCACATTCAAACCACATCACATTCAAGTTATTCTAAATATTTAATTTTATTCAATATGGTGGAGGATAGAAATGATGTAAAGATCAAGGTATTGTTGAAGACATTGGATCTAAAATTTCTTGCGGAGAATATTGTAGATGAAGCTACAAAAAATATAAACGATTCGAAACATTGGATAAAGAGATGGTTGTGAGTATCATGGATAACATTGATAATTTATCATATCAACAAATGAAAGATTTAATACAAAAGAAAGTTGAAAAGAACAAAATCACGCGTATTTTGGAGTTGTTCAATACAAAACCGGACAGACTTGAGTCTTCCAGAGAGTATTTCGATAGACTGAAAGTGTATGGTTCGGGGCTCAATCCTGAATTTTTGTCGGTGCAATTTATGTTGAATTGTCGTAATGAAAAGCTAAAAACAAGGTTGATAGAAGAAAATACTACAGAGCTTAATATTATAGAGGACATTGTTGTCAAATTTCAATCGTTGGAGATTAATAATAATAAAACATATGTAGAGAAAGATTCTTGGAGAAGAGAGGATAGAACCGATTGGCAAGGCTATTCGTCTTGGAAAGAGAACAAGCAGGCTTTTAAGGCCAACACCAAAAACAACTACAACAATAACAACAACAACAACAATTTCAAAAAAGAAATGATACAAACGCCATATAATTTGAGGCCAAGGAATAAGATAAATTTTATTAATGATTTTATGATTAATATGCAACTTAATAATCTAAATTTTTCTTTTTTGATAGATACGGGTTCTCCGTTGACATCCTTGCCCATTAAAGATTTTGAAAAATTGGAGAATTATGAAGAATTTGAGTTGGAAAATTGTTCTAAAAAATTATTCTCTTATGAGGGTTCTCCTATCACAGTCGTTGGTCAGGTCTCGAATATTAAGGTTAAATATTTGAATACAATTAAATATTTAAATTTGTATGTATTGGATGGGGAGGGACCACCGCTATGTGGTCAAGACTGGATTAAAGAATTTGATATAATCAAATTCAACGTTGATGTAAACACTATTAATAAGAATGAGATAGGAGATAGGGTAAATTTTTTAACTTTTAACAATCCTTTCAAAGATACTGATAAATTTTATAAAAAAAATTATGTCATTCAATCGTTATTTACTAAAAAAGGGTATTTTGAAGAGAGTTGTGACATCAACAAACTAATTAAGAAATTTAATTGTGTTTTTAATGATAGAATTGGAAAAGTCAAAAATTTGGAAATAGACATTTTATTAAAAAATGACTTTAAGTTAAAATTTGTGAAGTGCTCTTCGAGTTAGAAGAGGAATTAGAAAACACTATAGAGCAATGGCGCCAGCAGGGAGAAGCCTGTCAGATTTTCACAATGGGCCACTCCATTAGTGTTAGTTAAAAAAAAAATAATACGTAGAGAGTTTGTGCTACTTTAAAGTTACTGTAAACCCACAATAAGAAAGGTTCGAATAACCGCTTCCAAGGATTAATAACATAATTGCTAAAGTAGGTAATGGAAAGTTTTTTTCAAAAATAGATTTCTCATCGGGGTATCTGCAGATTCCTGTATCTAAAGAAACTTCCAAATTTCTGACCGTCTCCACACACAAGGGTCTTTTTCAATTTAATAGACTACCTTTTGGGCTTACAGTATCAACTGCTTATTTTCAGAAGACTATGGATGAAATATTTGCTGATATTAAGGGGTCATTTATTATTTAGATGATTTGTTAATTTTTGGTAAGGATAAGTTAGACCATTTTTATAAATTGAAAAGAGTGTTTGAAAGAATATTGGAATTTGGGCTGATTGGAAATATTAAAAAAAGTGAGTTTTACAAAGAGAGTATAAAATATTTAGGTTATTTAATAAGTGACAAAGGTATACTACCAATCTAAGAAAATATTGATCCTATAAGTACAATGACCGAAATAAGAATAAGGATGAATTACATTCTTGGTTGGGTCTTATAAATTATTATTCTAGATTTATAAGAGATTTTTCTAAATTATCAGCTAATTTATATGATTTACTTAAAAGGGGTAATAAATTTTGTTGGGGAATCAATGAAGGAACTAGTTTTTACGAAATTAGAGAAAAATTGTGTAATGCACCAATTCTTGCACATAATGATAGAAATAAGGAATTGTTAATTTCAACGGATGCGTCCAATAAAGGCATGGGTGCAGTTTTATTTCAGATAGAAGAAGATGGGTTAGAAAGGCCAATTGAGTTTATGTCTAAGGCATGGGCTGGAGCTGAAAAAAGATATTCAAATATTGAAAAAGAAGGATTGTCTGTTGTTTTGGCAGAAAAAAAATGGAAAGAATTTGTAGTAGGTAGGAGATTTAAAATTTTTTCGGACCATAAACCACTGGTGAATTTGTTTGGAGTAGATCCTGTTAAGCTTTACAATATGTCTCCAAGATTACAGAAATGGGCTTTTTGTTTAGCCGGTTTTGATTTTGACATTAATTATAGGAGGGGTAAGGATCAAATCATTCCTGATGGATTATCAAGGTTAATTAAGGAAGATATCATTTGTTTTGTTAATGTTAATAATGATATGAAGGATTTAAGAATAATTAACAATTTAGAATTGATTAAAGGAGAAACCTTTTTAGATTCAGAATTAATCCAAGTTAAAAAAATTGTGTTGGAAAAAGGTGAAAATGATACGCTGATTAAAGGTTACAAGGCATTCGGTAATTTGTTGAATATTAAGAATGATTGTATTTTTAAGGGCGAACAAGTTATTATTCCTCAAAGGTTAAGAAAAAGTTTCTTAGCGTGTTACATGAGGGTCATATTGGGTTGTATAGGATGTTAGATACTATGGAAAGGTATTTTTGGTGGCCAGGAGTCAATAAAGATATTAAAGAAATGATTTTTAGATGTAATATGTGCATGATCAATGTGCCTAAACTCCCAAAAGTTAAACAAAATTATTGGGTACAACCTAACAAACCCTGGTACCGAGTCTATATTGATTTTTTTGGACCTATTAAAAATTTTTATGGATTAGTAATTATTGATGGTACTCTCGCTGGTTAGAGATTATTAAGGTGAAAAACATTAATGCGACTACCACCATTATGGTATTAAATAATCTTTTTTCCAGATTTGGGTATCCAGTAGAATTGGTATCAGATAATGGACCAGCTTTTAGGTCTGTTGATTTTAATAACTTTTTAAAAGAAAAGGGAATTCTACATATATATACTCCTGCATACCATCTTGCGTCAAATGGCATGGCTGAAAGAGCTGTACGATCAGCAAAAAATATGATATATAAATTAGGAGGCTGGGATGACATTTTGGAAGATGTGTTGTTAAATTATCGCAACACGAAACATGCGGTTACTAAGTCATCACCTGCTTTTAGATTATTCGGAAAGGAGGGAAATGGAATTTTTTAAAAGACGATGACTGTGATTGTAGACCCAATGTAAAAAGAATAAATCAGAGAATTAACATTAGGCAACTCTGTCTTTATTAAAGTGGACTCCAATCAAGAATGGCGTGTGGGGATTGTCGTTGGGAGAATTAGTAACGTCATTTGGGAAATTCAGGTAGATGATAAGCTTCTCTTTGTTCATATTGATCACATTAGAAATTATTAATAGGAATATATTGTATATTTTTTTTTAACTTTTATATTGTTGGTTACAAATATTAAAGCATCATACATTGCAAAGAATATGGGTGGTGACGATATGGTGCGAGGTTCGAGTCAGTAAAAATATATTTTATTAACTAACTTTTTCATTTCATACTTCAATTATATACATTTTTTATAGGTCCAAATTAGAATATAAACGAAATATAAAAAAGTAAAATAATATATAAAAAAGTAAGGTTACGCCGTTTATAAAATAAAATTAGATTATAACAAAAATAATAAAAGTTCAAATGCAAAAAACAAAAAATAAGATAAAGGAATAACGCAACATACATATTCTATCTTTCCTAGTTATGATAATTATGATTAATAAGTTACATTGTTAATAATGATAATAATTCCCCTTTCCAATTGTAATTGTTTATTATATTCCAATATAATTCCCCCCAATTGTAATTGTTTATTATATTCCAAAATAAGGAAATAATAACAATAATTCCTTCCCAAATGTAATTGTTTATTATATTCCAAAAAAGAAAATAATGACAATAATTTCCCTTCCCAAATATAATTGTTTATTATATTCCAAAAAAGGAAATAATGACAATAATTCCCCTTCCCCAATTGTAGTTCCTACTATCCCCATATATATATTATTTTTTATATAATTCCTTGTTAATCTTAATGTAAGTATTGGGTATTATTTTAATAATTAAACCATTATTGTAACATTAAATATTAACCCTATCACTCATTTAACATTATAAGATTTTCCTCCCTCATGCCAAACGAGTTCTTTCCTTTCCCATTTTTGTACCTTGTTGTGTTTTCAAGACTTTAATTTTTTTATATATTTTTTTTTGGAGGTGGTGCATGTTGTATGATACAACGTATATTATGTATTTTAAGTGGTGTTTTCAATTACAATTATGTTTAATATTACTTATTGACAAATGTTTCACTTAAGGCGAAAAGAAGATATATTATATTGTAATAATATATTAAAGGTTGTTAATTATATAACGTGATTGGAAACAATTGATTTTCGAGATATATTTATTTTTGATATACATACAGATAAAAACCATACATTTTTATTTTCTATATTATCAAATAAAAAGACCACATCACATTCAAGTTATTCTATATATTTACTCTTATTCAATAGTATTTAAGATACAAGTATTTGCTATATGATGAAGATTATCAGTAAAGTTGATCAGTAAAATTATAGATATTCAGTATTAAAAACTAGAAAGAGGTCATAAACATTATATCAATAAAGATTAACAAAAAAATTTAATATTTTTATATTTATAAATCAATTACTAGTTGCCTCTTGATCTTGACAATGAGAAACTGAACTGCTAGATGAAGATGATTGAGTCTCTTCTTCGTCTTTATTTGTTTTAAAATCAAAATGTAATAATGAAACACCATAATCTCCTACTCCTATTGATATTGTCAAAAATATATAAATAGAAATTAAATTTTAAACTATTTACCATCTTCCTCCTCCTAAGTGTAGTGAGGATCATTTTCTAGATTATTAGCATTCATATCTTGAAATATGAGTGAATATATTTCTTTTAATAATTAAAATTATACAAAAATGATAATATTAATAATAAATGTCTGTCACTTATCTTATATAAAATAAATATATATGAAATAATAATATATAGGTATTGCCTTATATCAATATCATATAAGTCATGAAATAATAATATAAATTTATACTTATATGAGAAGAATCAGTTTCTGAAATTTCTGATGTAGTATTACTAGTAGTTTGTAGAGGTGATGTTGCTTGATATTTGTTTAACTTTAACTTAAAATAAGATTTAATAACTGATTGTTTCTTCATAATTTTAAAATAAACGTTGTAAAATAAAATAACTGGTTATATATTATAATATAAATGTGATACCTATAGAGAATGCTATACACAACAAAAACAAATGAAAAAAAATGAATGAATGATAATTTAATATTGGGTAAAAATACAAATAAAACAGGATAGAAAAAAATTTACACTAGACATGTTTGTAGAATATTCAAAATTTATTTTAAAAATATAAAAATAATCAATTCTAAATAGACATGTTTTTTGAATATTTTTGAATAAATATTCAAAATTTATATTAAAAATATAAAAATAATCAATTCTCTAAAAAAAATTTTCAAATTTTTTTTTTTTGGGGGGGGGCAGAAAATTTTTTTGGGGCCTAAGATTTTTTCTGGGGGCCAGGTTTGGGGGCCAAAAATTTTTTGCCCCCCCCCTCTCCCCTGGGCCCACCGTGACTACGGCCCTGGATAAGTCTATTATTAAATGTGCAATGAGTATGATTTTAAATCTGCAATTTTTAAAATAAAATATTCGATTATGCTGTCATAAGTCTCTTTCTTATTAAAAAGGTAATAGTTACAATATAGTGTTTAACCCATCGTTTTAAACATGTTTGTTTCCAAAAATATATTTTAAAAAAATCATGTAAAATAGGGTGCGCCAGGGATATGAGAGAGGAAGCTAAATGAGATCGCTAGAATAAATTGCTTAAGAAGTCGCACATCACCAGTCTGCCCTTGGTGCTTCGAGTCTTATGTTATATCTTAAAAAAGATATGCGCATCACTGATTAAACTGAGATAAATTTTTAAATTTAAAAAACTTTTAACTTATAAGCCTGGATTCGAAAATAATACAATCAAAATAAAAATTATCTACTTCAGTCCAGATTGCATTTATAATTTTTTTTTTAAAATTATTTTAATATTTGGAAAAAATTTGAAAAATTATTAAAATAATAATTGAATCGCTAAACTTGTTGGCCAGTTTTTATATCCTATTTAACAACAAAAGAATCACACCAACTAATTTACTGTGCAGCACTAATTGAATGATTACAACAATTCCTGGTTAAAATGCCAACAATATTTTGAATATAAAACATTAATTATATCTCATTTTTCAAAGGACATTTAATTATTTATGTTTACATTTTATTAATGAAGTTTCAAGAATATATTTATTATGTTTTTAATATAAATATTTGCAAATTTTTGCCTTTAAACATCATTCAATTTTTTTGGTAATTCAATTTTTTTGGTAATTCAATTTTTTTTTGTCCAAATGAAAACGTATAAGTTGGTGGTTTTTGGAATTTTAGTGCTTACTTTGGGGATTAATACTCAGAAACAGGTATTGGATGGTATATCTGAAAATTCTGGTGAATTAAATTATTTATGTTTTATCTTTTTAATCGGTTATTATCTACAGATACTTGTATTTTGGATCTAGGTAATGAGACATATACATTTTCTCCGGGAGAAATAATTACACCTAAAACTCAATGTATGGGATGCACATGTCAAAATGTTGGCAATGATTCTCAATATAGTTGCTTAGGGTGTGTACATTATACTGTTATTATTGATTTATTTATCATATAAATCTTAAAAGATGCAATGAAACCGAAAAATTGCCCCTATATTCTGGATGCACACCAGTTGGATTTAAAGGTGAGCCTCATCCTGATTGTTGTCCAGCTAATATTTGTTCTTAATAATTTTAACGATGTAATGTAAAATTTATATTTTAAAAATATATTTTAATATATATATATAATATTTGATTTTGTATGAAGAAAATTATTCCATATTTATTTGTCAATTAATTTTTTTTTAAAATTATGCAACGTATCATTGTAATCTCAATAAAATTTTTAGTTTTGATTAGATTTCACCTAGTGTAGTACGTTTGGAGTTTAAAATTAATATTTCACATTATCTAAGGTAAACACTAACCCTTATATTTGTCATGGCGGTAAGCTAACCTCGAGCGCTGTCCACTAGCTAGGTATCAGGCCTTAGTTTGAGTTGCGTAGCTTGGTAAAATATAGCAAGAACTTATTGGCTGCTTCGCGAAGTGTCTGTTAGATTTTACCTAATATAATGGGTGATTTAGTGTGTTATATAATTAGTAGAACTACGAATTAATTTTAAAAAATTGTGAAAATAATTATAAAACTTAGCATTTATTTAAAAAACTTCTAAAAAACTGAATAATTTAAAAACTATGATTTAAAAAACTGGGAAAATAATTTAAAAATTTTGAATATAATTATAAAACTGAGTATTTATTTAAAAAACTTCCAAATTAATTTAAAAACTGAAAAATCATATTTAAATAACTGTGTATTAAGATTTAAAAACTGTATATACAATTTCTTCCCTTTCATAAATAGACCGACCCATAGCAAAATAACAAATTCTTTAAGTTTGCGCTTAATTTAAGGAAAAAAAAATTAGAAATTAGAATAAATATCAAATTTGCATGTCGTGGCCCGGGCGGCAATTTTTATTTTTAAAAACCTGGTATGGCCTAAACAATTAATTAAATTTTAAAACCTGGGACGAATTTTAAAAAAATTTAAATTCTGTCAATTAATCAGTTCAGATTTTGAATTTTGAATTTTCTTTTGAAACAATTTATAAAATATAGTCAAAGTTATTCAAAAATAGATGAATTTTAAAAATTTCTAGTCGGGTCGGATCTTATAATGATCCAAAAAATATCGGGACCATGCTTGAAAATGTTCTTTTTTGGTCTGGGCCGGGCCTAATATATGAGCTTTTGAGATCTCTGATAAATATGTATAATGCTGTTTTAAAATAATATTCAATAATAGAAGTTTATAATTAAAATTCATCCTTATATCGATTTGCGTTGAATCTAAACAAAGGCAAATCCTACGCTCTTAAATTTACAGAGAATTTTATTTAAATTAACTGAAGCTAGTCTCGTCATAGAGGAATCCTCTCTGCAACTTTTTAAATAATTATGACTAGTTATTTTAATACTTACTTTCGTAAAAGTTTACAGGTACAGTTAAAAGTTTCATCAAAACAGAGATTACTCGATACATTCAATTACTTTACAAATTATTATAAACATCATTTTATAATCATGTAAAATAATTTTGGATTTTACAGATTTTAATCGAATAAATTTAAATAAAGAAATAATTAAACTGAAATAAGTTTCACAACCCTATTTATTTGTATCAAAAATAATGTAAAATAAATTATTTTTCCATAAAAATTTGGGTTTAATGATTTTTTATTTAATCTATTTTGAAAATTGCTGTATAAAATTTTCCAAAAAATAAACTTTCATAGCTTATACTTCGGCAGGAGCGCCTTTGCGTAACAAGTTGATTTTTATTTTTTAAATAGTCAATTCCTATTAATTTATAGGAATTTGCTGCTTATTTATTTTATTATTTTTCAATTTAATGGCACTTTTATCCGTGTTCTTTTAAACTAATATTAGTATTTAATCTTGGACAATTTTCCTGTATAATTTTATTTCATCTGTGTATTTTTTAAATTTGCTTGTATATTATCTTGATATATTTATTGTATCAAAATAACGATCCTACAGGAGCTGGGATAATCTCTCACTCAGGATTTACTCGAATTACATCTTTCTCACCAAACATTGGAATCCAAAAAATTAATAAATTATTTATTCACTCCTATAGCTTGTATTATAAACCTTAGGCATTTTTTCACTTATTAGGGGAGACCAGGGAACATAAGAGCCCTAAAAGGCAAACTTCAATAAAATTAAAACTACTTTATATATTGAATAAATAATATTCCAATTTATTCCACTTTATTTTTATGCTATACAGAAAAATAATTTTAAAAAAATTATACATTTTTTAACATTATTTATTTTTCGTAAAAAAATATTTGGGAAAGGGTGTACATCCGAGGAAGGATGAGCATACCCAGAGGCACTTTAGAGCTGCTAATATTGATTTTTTTTAAAAATAAAAACGATACATATTTGTTACACTGCTTTATTGATAAAAATAACGCCATAATGAAAAATGATTATAAAATTAGAATTTATTGACAATTTAAACTAATAAAGATGGATTAAATCCAATATGATCCATGGAAATTTACGTGTGGGACATTAACATTTTAGAGGATTTATTAGATAATTGTATAATATAGTTTATATCACTTTCTTGAGTATTTGTCTTGATGTAAACAATTTTTTGTTGTTTCAATCTTAATTTATACCTTTTACTGTTGCATAACCTAAGCTGGTTTTATCCGTAACGGCTATCAAGGACGGATTTTCGTTAAATTTATTAATGATCTCATCATTTAGTAGTTGTTTCTTCTTTCTAATATGATTTCTTACCATACTGAAATTTAAATAAGCACGCTCAAAAGACTCATATAAACCTCTGAAAAGTACCCCACAGACCCTCAATATCAGTAAAATTTAATTTCATGGTCGTTTAAACTTATTCTTAGTTCAAATAAAGAATAATTTTATATAGAATAGGGTTTAATCTATTATATAAGATGGTTATTATATAATTAAAACCTTAATTATTTTTTATTTATAGTATTTAAAAAATATACTTCACAGGGTATAAGTCATATATTGTGTTATAAAAACTTTATATGTGATCCTATATTGAAAAAATTATAGGCGCATATGCATCGCATATGCATAATGTAGTTACATATTTAGTTAATTAACTCTTAGAGTTGAGTACTCTAAAATAAAACCTCAAGGCTAACAAAAACCTCGAGCTCATAAGATCCCCGGCCTTCCGTACATTCAAATTTTTAAAAACATTAAGTTTAAAAATAAACAAATGATGCCAAAGCGGTTTTCTATCTTAGGCAAGAGATCTAAATCGACATTTTTATATTTAATTTTTGGGAACTCAATTTAAAAAATTTTTAAATATATTCTTATATATTTTTTCTTCTTGAAATTTTAATATTTTATCATATGAATTTATCTTTATAAACTAAATAAAATTTTTTATAATAATTAAAAAACTCGGAATTGAAAACATTATCTTAAATCTTTATACAAAATTTTATTTAAAATGTTTTGTCAGTTTAAGTTCCCTGATTTATCGACCATTGTTATAAACAATTAGAGGCAAAAATAATTCATATTAATAAATTTGAATGGTAAAAATTCGCAGATTTATTTCGCGCAGCATAATTATACAAATGAATGATTACAACAATTCCTGGTAATAATGCCAACCATATTTTGAATTTTCCCTTTTATCATAAGACATCTAAAACTTTAATTATTTATGTTTTCCATTTGAATTAATAAAATTTCAAGGTTAATTAAGCAAAATATGTATCATTTATGTTTTTAAACTAAATATTTACAAATTTTAACTATGAACATAATATTTTTTTTGTAATTGAATCTTTATTTTTACGTTTCTTTTTTAAATTTAAATGGAAACCACTTTTTTGTTGGCTTTTGGAATTCTACAGCTTATTCTTGGGATCAATACCGAGACCATGCTTGGATACACGAGAAACTCAAGTAAATTAAATTATTTAAGTTTTATCTTTTAAAATGGTGTCTATAATTATCTTTAGATGCTTGTATTGTGGATCTAGGTGGAAAGAGTTATACATTTTATCCGGGACAAATGATCAAACCTTCAACCGCATGTATGGAATGCACTTGTGAAAAAAGTGGCGCTGATTCTCAATTTAATTGCCGTGGGTATGTGCATATTATATAGCTATTATTATTTTTATCATTTAAATCTTAATAGATGTGGAGTTATAGGCAATAGTAATCCTAATTGCAGAGTAGTTACGAAAAAATATTTACTGCATCCCGAATGTTGTCCTGATTTGGTTTGTAATTAGTAATCTAAACGACTTTTATCAAAGATTACCGAATGTAATTAATGTGAAATTTATATTTTTAAAATTATCATTAAAATCATATTATATTTAATAGAATAAAAATAAAATCTATATAATTATATTTGATTTGTGTATAAAAATAAAATTATACTATTCTTATTTATTTATCAGTTGATTTTCAAAAAAAGATTATGCAACGTGTCATTGTAAATTTTAATTAAAATTTTTTTTGAAAATCTTTTCTGTCTGAACTTCGTATCTGTAGTTAGATGCATATTTTTCAAAAAATATTTATTTTACTTTCAGCTATTTATCTTTTAAAAAAGAGTTTTGATCAGGCCCGGCACAGGCCCGCCAGTTAGGCGAGGCCCTGCTCATATTTAATAATAAAAAATAAATCCCAGATCCAGCTCAAGTTTATAATAAGTTTCAAAAGATTTTTCTAAGCCACAAGCCCAAACCCATATCTAAAAATTTATTACATTTAATAAAAATAGATATTTTATTGTATTTAGGCAATCATTTTGTTTGCAATGATGAAATTTATTATCATTAGAAGAAAAAATTGCAATATGTTTTTAAAGTAACAACTTATTAAATATGTTAAATTTAAAATTAAAAAAATTTTAGACCCCAAGCTCATTAAAAATATTTTTCAAAGCCCCAAGCCCGGTCCACGCCGCTAGAAAATAATGGGCCACCTCGGCCCGGCTTATAAAGAACTCTAAGAAAATTTTTTCTATTGGTAAAAATTAGAACTTATATACTTTTTTATATTTTAACATTGACGTCATTTCAAAAGATAATAAATTTTAAAAAAAAATAAACTAAAAAACCATTGTAGACCTTCACTTAGCCAATAACAATATTTTAAATGTGAATATAAAACAAAAATCCGAATTATTCATCGATATATCGTAAAGTGGCGTAGGCATAAAGATTTTCTAAAGGAGAGATTTATGGGGGTAGGAAGGGGGGGGGGGGTTGATTGTCAGGCTTTAGTTCAAATTTTTAATATCATGTAAGCCTGGAGATTTTTCTCACGGGTGGCAGATCGGTTTCACTCACTATTAGCCAATTCTCGAAGCTTGCATAACATTATTTTGGCTAAAATCTTAATCGGGATGTTAAACAATTCTAGTTATATTTATCTAATAATTTTTGCCATTAAACTATCGTGTGGTATTTTATAAAAAAAAATCTATATAAATCTAAATATCTATTTTGGTTATTTTTTAAAAAATATATATTAAATTTTTCAAAAATTTTTTAAAAATAAATAACGTATCAAAGTTATTTTAAAAATATATAATATTATAAAGGCAAAAATAATTGAGCAATTTTAATGCCGGTTTGAATTTCAAAAGATATCATTTAAAATTTCCATCGGTCTTCTTGTATTTTATCAAAATATTCATTACTAGAATAAATATTGATTTTAACAAAGGTCTATCAATATAATATTTAATCAGGGAATTTAAACTGTCATAATTTAGAAAAAAGTAAATTACTTATAAAATTCGCTTAAATCGATTCAAAAGTTTCAAAATAAAGTTATCAATTACAAGTTTTATTTATTCATTATAAAACTTTATTTAGATAAAGATAAATTTTTATATGATAAAATTTAAATGTATTACAAGGAAGAAAATTAATTTTCTATTAGTATAATACGAAACATTTTTTTAAAAAAAATTATAATTGAGTTTTCCAAAAATTTAATTTAAAAATGTCAATTTACACACTCTTGCCTAAGATAGAAAAACTCCTTGGCATCTTTTGTTTAATTTTAAACTTAATGTTTTTATAAATTTGTATCTAAGGTTTATATAGGCTATGGGAGTAAATAAACAATATTTCTGGATTCCACTGTTAAAGATGTTTTGCAAGTAACATTTCAAATGAGAGATTTTCCCAGGAGCTTTAGATTTTTATTTAGATAAAATAAATATATCAGGAAAATACGCTTGCAAATTTATAAAATACGCAGATAAAAATAAAATTGTACAGGAAAATTATGGAAAATTAGATATTAAAATAAGTTTAAAATGCATACAATTTTAAAAATGATATTATATAGGAAATTCACAAAATAGATAAGCTATAAATTCCTATAAATTAGTAATTGACTAAATATTTGAAAAGTAAATATGTATTTGTGGCGTAACCTTGAATTCACAGTTAGCTCAAATTTGCGGCGAAGTATAAGTTAATAAAAATTATTATATATATCATATTTTATATACTTTGCCACGAATTCACGCTAACTGTGAATGCCGTGTAAAGAATCTCATGTGAAAGTGTAGTCTAGGATAGCTAATTTTTGAAGAATATACAAGCAATTTAGAAATAGTTTAAAAGTCAAGTAAAAAATCATTAAGCCCAAATTTTTATGAAAAATAATTTGTTATTTTTTCACATTATTTCAGATGCAAATAAATATTATTGTCATATTTTTTTTCAGTGCAATTAATTCTTTATTTCATTTGATTAAAATCTATAAAATGCAAAAATTATTTTGTATATTAAAAAATGATAAAGTAATTGCTAAACGAGTTTTATTTGTAAGTATGAAACTTGGAACTGTAATTGATACTTTTTCAAAAGTTACTATTAATAATATTGGTCATGATGTTATTTAAAAAGATTGATGAGCCTAGTGTCAGTTTATCTTACTGATAATTTGAAATGATTATTTATAAATATAAGGGCGATTAGGATTTTCATTTTTTTGGATTCAACGAGACCACAAGCCCGATGTTTGGGACTTGCTAACATAACAAGGATGAATTTTAAATTTGCCTTTCTATTATTGAATATCATTCTAAAAGACAGCGGAATACATATTTATCAGAGACCTGAGGCTCGACATTTAATACCCGGCCCAGACTTGAAAATAAAAACATTTTGAAACATGGCCTGGATTTTTTTTTGGATTATTATATGACCCGAAATGGCCAGAAATTTTAAAATTTAACTATTTGACTAATTTTGGCTATATTTTATATTTTGTTTCAAAAGAAGAATAAAAATATAAGCAACATTTGAACTTAATTGATAGAATTAAAATTTATTTTAAAAATTGGCCTAGGTTTTTGTAAAAAAATTAATTGTTTAGGCCAGGCCAGTTTTTTAAATTAAAAATTGTTCGGTCCTAGGCTGTCAAATCTGATATTTATTCTCATTTCAAATTTTTTTTCAATTGAGTATACATTTAAAAGAATTTGATATTTTGCCTTAAGTCTATTTATCAAATGGAACAAATTGTATGTATAATTAATCGAAATATACACATTTTTAAATATGATTTTACAGTTTTTAAATAATTTTTTACAGTTTTTTTTATAAGTTTTTAAAATAAATACTCAGCTTTTCAATTATTTTCACAATTTTTAAAATAAGCTCGTATACTAAATAACACAATAAACCCACTATATTCGGTAAAGTCTAACAGATACTTAGCGAAGCAGCCAATGTTCCTGTTATATTTTACCATACTTCATGGCTGGAGTTAAGGCCTGATAGAAAGCTAGTGGACTGCATTTGCGGTAAGCTATGAGCGTTTAACATAAAGTTTTTTAGTAAAGATAAGGGCTAGTGTTTATAATAGATGATGAGTATATATTTTGAAAAATATGTTAATTTAGAGTTGTATATATTTCGTTTTAACCAATTAAAAAGATATAAGCAATAATATATAAATGTTTATTTTACTGCGGCGTCTTTATACGCACTATATTCGGTAAAGCATAACAGATATTTAGGTGTGCTGAGCAGCTAAAGGCAATCAATAAGTTCTCTTAGTTTTTACCAAACTATGAAGATCAAATTAAGACCTTATACCAAATTCATGACTGTCTTCGCGGTTAGATTTAGAGTAAAACAGCAAAGATAAGGAGTGTTTATATTATGAGGAGAAATACTAATTTTATTAGATAACAAACCTACTACACTAGGTAAAATCTAACAAAAATTTAAAAATTTTGTTCAAATTAATAGACATGTTACATTTTTATAAAAAAATAAGAAAAAAAAAGTCGAAAATCTAATTTTAAATTTTTTTCAATAAATAATAATCTTCGAAATGGTCACTTAATTTATTAAGCGATCACTTTAGGAGTTTCGTTATAAAACAATAGTTAAATTTGTAAAGTATATCATGTATGCATACATAAAGTGTTGTAGTTATTCAATGTTTATTTTAGAAATTAAGAAAGTGTATTAAAACAAAAAGATTTTTTTTATAATTTGAAGAAGTTTAACCTTGAATATTTGGAGCAAGTAACATCTTCTACAGCAATTACAAATTCACCTTAGCATCATCCATCAAGATGACTACAGCACATTATTACACTCTATTCAAAAGAGAAATAATAGGGATATATAAAGTTAATGATAACTTAATTCTTTAAAAATCTAAATTACACGATGGTATATTATGGATAATTTCTATGGTAAAAATAACATCCTCTACAGCAATTACAAATTCACCTTAGCATCATCCATCAAGATGGTTAGAGCACATTATTATATCTCCAAGCATTTATGACATTTGACACTCTTTTTAAGGAGAAATAATAGAGATATATTAAAGATAACTAATACTTTAAAAATCTAAATTACACATTGGTACTATTAGGGATAATTACTATGTTAAAAGTAACATCTTCTGTAACAATTACAAATTCACCTTAGCATCATCATTATGTCACCCAACCTCATAAAATTGAATTCAGCAATATAATACAGAATGGTATAAATGAAATCCTATTTGAACTTTAATAACAATTATATACAAACAATAAATCAGGTCTAGTTTCTCTATTAAATCAAACATGCCTATTCTTCAAGAGGCTTCAATTCCAAAGAAAGGGATAAGCTAGCTTCAAACATTAATATTGAAAAGTTAGATGAACCTTTAACAAATTTACTTGAAATTTTTGATGACTTTGAATTTTACATAAAATGTCAAAACTTATATAGCATTACTCAAGATTCTTAAAAATATGCACCCACACACATTTGCACCCCATCCAAATAACTTACAATTTCCAAATTTACAATCAAACCCACTCACATTTTAAATCATCAAAAAAAAACCTACCACCCAGTCTCTCTTTTCAATCCACACAATTTAGACTCAAGGATTGACTTCTTTTTTTTCATATTCACCAGAAGCTACCTTATATATCTTACTTTCTTATTTTCTTTAATTATTTTTAAAACTTATTCATTAACACATTCATACATAATAAATTTATATATTAGTTTTATTTTTTTAATAACTTTTAACCTTCAATTAGTTTAACACTTATATTATCCAGCCTACAATTAAAGGCATTAATTTCCAACAAAATTAACAACTTAAACATCAAATCCGCTCTTCGCTTAGTAGCATCTGATGATTCATTTGTCACTAGTAACGAAGAAAGTTTCAACAAACTCAAACTTAAGCACCCCTCCGGAGTTAATTTCATACCTCCACCTCCTCCCAATATTTTTCCTTCTGATTTCACCTCCGCCGAGGGGCGTAAATCTATTCTATCCTTCCATCACGACTCTTCCCCTGGTTACGATGGGCTTCGTCCCACATCCCCCCTCATAGTCAGCCAGGTCCCAATTTTACAAAATTTATTTTGTAACAAAATAGCACACGGCCTCGTTCCCGAGTCCATCAGACCACTCTTATTCGGTGCTAAACTAATCGCACTCGAAAAACCAAATAAGGATATCCGCCCAATAGCAATCGGAACCGTATTTCGCCGTCTTGTCGCTAAACTAATATCTTCCAAAATTAAGGACAACGCGGCCTTAATTTTAGCACCTCACCAACTAGGAATCGGCATCCAAAGTGGCTGTGAAATAGCCACACACGCTACTCGTAAACCCAAGTAACAAAATCCTCGTTAAAATTGATTTCTCTAAAGCCTTCAACTCCATTCGCCGCTCTCACTTTCTCTCTCCCACAAATGTACCACTATTTCCCCACCTTTTCTCAATTCTTCCATTCCTGCTATTCCAAGCCATCTCATCTCCAATTCAACAACTATTTACTTTCATCATCTGAAGGGATCCAACAAGGCGATCCTTTGGGATCGATACTTTTCTGCATTGGAATCAATGAAGGTCAAAAACATTTCTTCCAATTGCAATCTCCCACTGCATACTTGGTACATTGATGACGGAATATTCTACGGTCCCCCTAACGAGGTTGCTAAGGCATTCACCAAACCATCATCAAAACTCATTCGCATGCTATCGGTTTCTTACTCAACGAACAAAAAACTGAGATCTGCCCATTTCATTGCTCCATCCCATTCAACCACAACTTCCACACAACCGAACTCTCATCCCTCAGTCATCTCGGCTCCCCAGTCGGTGACCTGGAATCCATCAATCACTTCTTAACTAACGCATCATCCAGCTTACTTCATTTCAAAAATATCTCTAAGTTTCTCCCTCCTCATCAAGCTATTTTTTTCCTCAAAAACTTTTATTACATTCCTAAAATTCTCTATGCACTTCGATCCACCTCAATTTTCAAATTCCCCGACTCATTAAAATCTTATGAAATCTCCGTCAAATCTCTCGCCGAAGAGATCCTTAATCTCCGCTTTAACCATAATTCATAGTTACAAGCATCACTTCCATGCAAGCTCGGGGGTATTGGCTTACGCTCACCTCTAACTCTTTCCATCAGTGGTTTCATCTCGTCTTTCATCTGACTCACACATTCAGCTTTCTAACTTCCCTGACCCCTTATTAGCTGAAGCCCAGACCATTTAGGACAACGCTCCACGACCCTTCTCATGTTCACAGAGAGACTGGGATATTCCACTCAACGAAGGCTCCGTCCCTTACCTAAAATCGAGCCATCACGACGACGATCTCACAGTTTTTCACCATTTGAACCAAGGATCTGGTTTCTGGAAACCATAACCTCGATTTGTTGCTCTCCGCTGACGAGCTAAGATTTGCTATTAGACTACGGCTCAATTGCGAAATTTTTCTTCCGTACCAATGCAAACATTGCGAAAGTGTCGACAGCAAGGGTAGACACTGCCTCCATTGTCGCTTTTGTCGTGGCCGTTTTTCACGGCACACCAAATGCAACGACATCATTTTACGCGCCCTCAAATCAGGAGGCATTCCATCTAGACTAGAACCAACCAGAATTTTTAGAACCGATGGCTGATGGAATGTCCTTGACCCCCTGGTCAAGGAGTCAGCTCCTGGTTTGGGACTTCACCTGCATTAACCCAAATGCACCATCTAACCATAACGTCGATGCCCTCGCAGAATCCCAGAAAACCATAAAGTACAGTTCCTTAGACCCTTCTTTCTTATTCATACCCATCGCCTGATTCATTCTCACCATCTTCGTTAGCAAAGCCCAACGTTTTTTCAAAGAATTAGGCAAACGGATCCGCGAAAAACCCGATCAGCCTAAGGAATCCCTCTTCTTACGCCAAAGACTTGCTATCGCCATCATTCGCTCTAACTATCTAAGCTTCATCTCTTCCATTGAATAATCTACATTTTCCAAGCTTTCTTTTTTTATCCCCCATCCTTTCCCGTAAATTCTATTTCTACATTTTTCACCTTTATTTATTTTACTTTTTTAAAAAATTAATTATTTGCTATGTTATTTTGACAACATAACATATCTGTAAATATTCAAATAAAGTAACCAATGACCGAAAAAAAAAATTATAAATAAATATAAATAATAATTCATTATACCAATCAAATATAATAATTTTTTTTTTTTAAAATATATATATTTTTATAATGATAAAATATTTAAATTTCACAATTACATTGATAATATTTGATAAAAGTCGTTAAAATTATCAATTACAAACAAAATAGGGACAACACCCAGGATAAGCTAGATGTGGTTTGGACACTGATTTGCATTTAGGATTACTAATGCCTGGTGCGCATCTATTAAGATTTAAATGATAAAAATAAATAATAACTATATAATATACATACCCAATACAACCAAAGTGATAATCTTTATTGCATGTGCATCTGATACATTGAGTTATGGGTGTAATCGTTTCTCCCGGATAAAAAGTATATGTTTTCCCATCTAGATTCATATTACAAGAATCTGAAGATAATAATAAATTATTTTATAAAACTCAAATAATTTAATTCACCTGAGCCTTTAGAAATCCATATCTGTGTATTGATCCCCAAAATAAGGACTGCCATCAAAGCATGGACTTTCATTTGCGTAAATTATTCAATTACAAAAAAAAATGAATGATACTCAAAGCGTAAATTTGCAATTAAATTTAAAAAAACTATTCATGAAATTTTATTAACACAATGGCATATATATAATTGAAGTTGTAGATGTTCTATAACAAAAGAGATAATTAATGATACAAATTCAAAATATTGTTGGCACTTTAAATAGGAATTGTTATTATCAATCATACAATGGTCTATACATTTTGAATCAGGCAATTTAAACTTGTGTAACTTTTAAATAAAATTATTATAAACAAAAGTTTCAAAATAAAATTTTCAAATTACAAGTTTATTTAAAAACCATATGATAAATATGAAAATTTAAATATATTACAGGGAAGGAAATAATATTCTATTAGTATATATGAAACATTTAAAAAAAAGATTAAAAATGAGTTTCCCAAAAATTAAATTAAAAAATGTCGATTTAGATCTCAGATCTAAGTTAGAAAAATTTCTTGGCATCATTTGTTTATTTTTGAACTTAAAGTTTTTAAGAATTTGAAATTAATAGACTATGAGAGTAAAAAAAATTTCTTATTTATTTAGTATAATTTTTTTATATTTTTTTTAAGGATATCGGTTGTTGGAGATTTCCCCAGGGCTTATGGAATAGTTATAGACACAATAAATAGATTTAAGAAAATTTTTTATACACATATAAAAATACATATGTAATGATTGAATTGTACATATAAATTAAATAGTAAACTAAGTTTAAAATCACATAGATTAAGTTTCATAAAATTAAAACACATAAAGGTTCTTCTGCAGAAGCACAGTCTAGAGAAAAGTTTATAGAGCAATTTTAGAAAATAGTTCAAAAGTCGAATTTTTATGGAAAAGAAAGATTCTATTGTCATTTTGAGTGCTGTTAAAATTACTCCAAATAAGAAACGCCTTGTCCGTTACTCTTTAGGAAAGAGGAATGCGTTACCGTTATTCATTATCTTATGTAATAAGGAACGCGTTACTCGCTGTTCAAAATAAGTAACGCATTTGCTTAAAAAAAATACTAAATTATATATATCATTTCTTTTAAAATGGTAATAAAAATTAAAGTATACAAAAATTTGATTTTCAAAAAATAAACTTAATAGATCATCATCATTATAAGTATCTTCATTCAAATGTTATGAATGCAATATAATATATTAATTAATGTTATAAATGCCATACAGTATATTACTATGATGATTGACATTATTAATATTTTATATACGAGTTAATAAAGTCATATGTTTTAAATTGTAGTCTAAATTAAAAATATATCCTTAGCAAATTTTTAAAACAGAATTATTTCTCAAGGTTTGAAAAATTTATTAGAACACAATCTAAATAAATCGTAGATCTGGTGCCCCCTGTCTTTGTATAAAAAAAAAGCCACTAGGGTCAGGGCAGAATGAAATCATCATCTTCATCTGAAGAAATAAGTTTGATTGACATCTTTATAAAAATTATAATGAAAAAAAAAAAAAAATATTTAAACTTTATTATGTAGATAATATTACGAAAACTCGCTTATAAAGATATATAAAATAATGGAATGGAGGGGGGGAGGGAGGTAGGAATTAACTAAAGGAAATTTCTTGACAAAATGTTTTTTCAAATCGGTATTTGGATAAAAGGGGGGGGGGTAGGGGTAATATTTATGCTTTTAATTGTAAATAGTAATGATACCTTATTATCGAATACAATTAAACATGACATTACTGAGGGTATGGAGTATTATTATATTAAATATAATTGTAATTAGTAATAATAATTCCTATTTATGGAATGATAATTATTTTTACAATTAATAAATTAAAAAATTATAAGAAAAAATCTATTTTAAAAATGGGGTTATTGATTTTTACGTTTTATTATAAATGTGTTAGATAACGTTGTAAATTATTCTTATATACAAAAATTATAACTTTTTTTTGAGTAGCATGTAAGGCTCAGACTCAGAGATCTCGATTAGGAAATCATTGTAAGCATCAGCTTATGTTATCCAGGTGGGCCGAGTTTTTTTTAAGTTAACCTGGGTATTTCCATGCCACGAGGCATGTATATAATAGATCTAAAGCAAAGGCATGAAAGAATGCAATCCATTTGTTAGTTTATTATTTTATTAGTGCGACCTATGCAGGTACAGGATAAATCGATTTGCTAAACAAAGAAAATTCATAAATTAAATCGTCGAAAAATATAGTAAGTATTTGGCGTAATCAGTATTTTTATAATGATTGTTAAATCTTTTTAAATATTTGTAATAAAGGCTGTATATATTAAATGAATCGAATCGGATCGATAGAAATGTTTGAATTCTTAAAGGGTGTCTGAGAGTTAATAACTTTAAGTCATATATACTTATTATTAAATTCACTGATATAAGATGGATGCAAAGAGTCGTTTAAGAATTCACAGTCCCCTTCTAAAATAAACGTTACTTGAGAATTAAATCAACTAATTGAAAGTTAATTAGGAAATAAAATAGACATAGCATAGTAGTAAATATGATAAGATAGCCCTTATATCAATCATTGATAATTTCAATTTGTTTGTACATTATACTACATATGTTATATCTTGACATTTAAAAATCAATATCGCATGAAATATTATCCTGTTAAGCCACTCATAAATTGCAAGTATATACCTAAAAATAATTCGTATTAAAATAAATTTAAATAATAAAATTATTCAACTAGAAAAATTAGAATTCAAATTAGGAAAATTTATTATCTATCAAATAATTCGTATTAAAATAAATTTAAATAATAAAATTATTCAACTAGAAAAATTAGAATTCAAATTAGGAAAATTTATTATCTATCAAATAATTTTATATCCATCGCCTATATAATTATTCTATGATATTTTCTAAATATAGCTCATAGACATATTTTCTTTAAATATTCATAAATATTTAAAATTATTTCTCTAATGGAGGAATTCGGAATTTTTAACGGTTATTACTTAGAATTTTGATAAAAAAAATATGATAAAATTGAAATAATATTATTATGGATCTTGATATGGTCTAATTAAATTTGAATATAATGTTTTAAATTAAATTGGTTTTGCAATATAATGAATAATTAATATTTTTATGTTGATTTTATATGTCAAGAATATGATTTTTTTTCTATCATATTTTCCAAATAAATTTATATATTATAATGGTTTCGCATTCATTCCACAAATTAGTTCAACTTTTTTTTTCTCAATAAAATAATTTTGAGTAATTTAATCCCTCTTTTTGTAAATTCGGAATATAAAATTTTTCATAATTATAGTATTTGTTCGAAGTAAATTCTCGAATCGAATACGAATAGTCTAATTCTTCAATTTGATATGTTAATTTTTGTTACAGTTATTTCTTGCCTACATATGAGATAATATATAAATATAAATTAACAACTTTTATAGGGATAAAATATAATTATATCTAAAAAATTTTAAAAATTTTAAAAATGCCTTTATTATGCTCAAGATGCCACATGTTTTATATAAATTAAATATTTTTCATATAAAAAATTATAATTCTTCTTAGCTTCTCCCTAATGGTAATGGTTCGATAGCTAATAGTGTTGTTAAAAAGTTACTTAACAGTTATCAAAATTACAATTGACTTTATTAAAAAGTTTAAAAATTTCGAAAAAAGTAACGAGCTACTTGTTAAGGTTTATATTTCAAAAGCGAATTATTTTATAATTTATATAACTTATTTTGTAAAATAATTTTTTCTTACTACAACAAAATTTTGAAATTTACAAATTTTAATCTAAAAATTTAAATTATAGAAATACACTTCCTTAGTATACGACATTATATTTAATTGTAATTTTAAATTCGGAAATCATTATTTAAAGATAATGAATAAGATATATATTATTCTCGTTACTTATTGTTGTATTCCCAAAAATTATTTTTTCCTAAAAATATAAATAGTTCGTAATGACATTTAGTGACACTGATGGCTATATATTTATCAGTTAGTCTATATTTTTATAGATTTAATAAAAAAAAAGTATTTATTTTTATAATTTCTAATTTTGATAAAATATTAAAAATTAATTCCCTTTTTTAAAAAAAATATTTTCAATAATTTTATTACACAAATTTTAAAGATCATTTCGAATAATTTCTTCTTCATAAAGATTTACAGAAACATATTATGAATAATTTAAAACAAATGACATTTACCATATTTCAAGCTGGAATTAACTCCGCATCCACAGTTAGAGCAAATTTGCGGCGGTATATACAAAAATTAATAAAATTATTATATTTATACCATATTTTGTATACTTCGCAGCCAATTTGAGCCAACTTTGAATGGGGTAAGTTGGATGCGAAGAGAACAAAACAAAAAAGAGGCCCTGATGCAATAATTATTAATTATAGACTTTCTCAGTACCCCAAATACAAGCTATTGAAAAAATTTAAAAAAGAAATTGCTCATTGACCAATGTTACAGTAGGATAAAAAAATTTTTAATGAAATATAAAATATAAACATATAAAAGATTTTACTATTCTTATTAATTACCTAAATACATTAACTATTTATAAAATATAATATTGATATTCCATGTAGAACTAAAGGTCAATCACTGTGTTTCAAAAATGTTTTATTTTTCAGAGGGAAAAGGTTTTTGAAATTGTTATATGTTAAAAGCAGTCTAACCTGCAAATTATTTTAGCCAAGTTCGGTCTTGCAGATATATTGACATAAATTTAACTAACAATAGGCAAATACAAGATCTCAAGTATATATTTGTTTCTGTTATATTTATAAATTATATTTCTCAACATTAATTCGGTTGGGTTTCCACTTTTTTAAATTAATTGAATGTAATTTTTTTAAAAATATAATAATTGATATATTCGATTTTATATTTCTATTTCTTCCAAGAATTTACTATATATGTGGGTTATGGAATCATGTGGGAATCGGAATTTCAACGTAGGGATTCGAGATCTTAAATTCCTACTATTTATTCGGAATCTTTTTGTATAAATCTTTTTTTTAAAACTATTAAATTATATTTTTATTTCTAAAAATTATTAATTTGTCAGGATAGAATATATTTTTAAACTATGAGGGGGGTGTATATATTTTCTAAAAAAATAACGGGCGGATAGTCTGGCCTCTCTAGGCCTACTTTATTTAGATTTATAAAAGATTTTTCGCATTATTCATATTTCTTCTATAAAATTTTTTTAACGCAATTTGAAAATATTGACCATTTAATTTGCTCAAGAAACATGAGAAAAGCGTGAAGTTGTTAGATATCTGATTTTTGTTTAAATTTTTTAATATTTTAAGCGAATTACATTAACTTTAATGGTAGTCTACTAGCCAAAGAGCTATCCTAGCCTCTTTCTATTTAAATTTTTTTACATATTTCTTTTGTCCCATTTTAATTTTAATTATAATTATGCGCTCATATATTCATTATTGGTTTTTTTAAGATATATAAATTCGAATAAAAAAATATTATATATAAATTTTATGCAAACTATTGTAAAAAAATTTATAAATAACAAAATATAATTTTTGAAAATTTCATTTAGAGATATTTTATTTTCTTTATTGTTATAATAAAATAACTGATATAATTTTCAATAAATTTATTCTTTGGAAGGGAGTTATGGAATTTCTAAATTATTACATTTTGAAAATTTATTTTTGTTTTTGTAAATTATAACATTATTTTATTTTTAATTTTCTTTAATGCCTAGCATTTTTTTTACCCAAAATACAGAATATAATTTATTTAAAACCATATTAAAAACAACCAAATAAAAATATATTAGAAATATAACGTCAAAATTAAAATTTATATTTTCATATTTATATTTAGAAAACGAATATTTATTTTGAATAATAAAATAAAACCCCATTATTATAATATCATATTCAATCAATATTAAAAAAAGTTCATCATAATGACAAAAATGATCTCGATGTTAATAGAAAAATTCTAAATATAGAATCAAATACAAATCTATACCCCAAATATTTATTATAGAATATTTTAATATAGATTTTTTTTAATCAAACAAAATATACAATGATTATAAAGCGTTTTAAAATATTAATTTAAATATAATTAATATAAGGTTATAACAAATTTAATAAAGGTAATTTAATAAAAATAAAAAATTTGACGAATAAAATCTTTTTATTTATAAAATTTTAGGTTTTAAAACTTTTATATAGATTTGATGTTAATAGTTTAATACATAAATATAAAATTAATAATATTTCAGCCGCTAGATTACCTCTTTTATTCAATTTTTTTTGCTAAATTGTTATTTTTTTTAATCAAAAATTTCTTAATAATTTTAATAATTATAATGAATTTTTATACCCTATTTAAAAAGATTTTTTCTTTTAAAATTATTACTTTTATTTAGACCTATTATAATACAGTGATATTGCTAATCATCGACCTAATCTATATATTGCATATAATCATAGACATTATTTTTCAAATAAAACTTTCAGCTATCCTTTTATGTAATTCAAAAGAGTTAGACATTCTCAGCACACTCGTATTCATGGCAAATTATATACTATAATAATGCTTTCATTATTGTTAACACGAAATAAATAATAATCTTAATTTAAAGGTTCCACATCAATGCGCGGAATATTCGGCGCGGCGACAATTCAGCGCAGCGTCAAATCAGCGCATCTACAATTCAGCGAAGCGTCAATTCGGCAAGTATCTATTACAGTTGCAATTTATTATAAATTACTTAGTATAAAAATATAAGAATGATTAAATAGAAGTCATTTTGAATGTTGGAATTATTAATTATTTCTTAATATTTATTTTTAAAAAAATCTCAATTTTATTTATTAATGTGTAATATCGAAAAAAATTAACTCTTAGATAAATAAATATATGTCATATATGTTTCATTCAATTCCTCATATGTTTTATTTAACTCCTGATGTTATATGAAAGATGGTGTAAATATGGGGATATTGATGACCAAGAGCTATAACTCAATGAAAAGCCTGAAAAAATTATGGAAGAATATCTTAGAAATTAAATGATATATTTTTTTTGAGAATGTAACACGTCGCTTCTGAAGGGTAGGCGTGTTGTAGTTTTGTATTTTTGTTATATATTATATTTATACATAATGATATATATGAAAAGTCAATCAAAAGTGATCTTTTGAATTAGTTTGTTTTGTTAGTGGATTAATGTAAAAGAATGAACAGATGTTGCTTTTCTATGTATTTTTTTTGCTTTGTCTATGTATTTTTGTGTAATAAAAAATATAATTTTATATAGATATTTTATTCTAATATTTTTGACTTCTTTAGACTTTTATATTACTTCTTTAGACTTCTATAATAAGGTATGTTGATTTGTAGCCAATATTATGTAAGCCTGGAGATTTTGCGCATAGAAGGAGAAAGAAAAGATTTGACCTCTATCTCTAATCTTATATATTATTTTGGCTACAATCTTAATCAACCGTTTTTAAAAATAGACCCAAAATACCCCCCCCCCCCCCCCGATAAGTACTATAATGTCAAATCTTAAATCCCATTTTCACGCCTAATTTTAGACAATTAAAAAAATAAATAAAATTATAAAAGTTTAAAAAAATAATATACACCCCTGATAAGTAATATAAGAATAACGAAAATTATGTTAAATCTTAAATCCCCTTTTCACGCCTAATTTTAACAACAAAAAAATAAATATTTTATTTTGGGATTTTCTCTTTTTGTTTAACAATTTTAAAGAATTCAATTATTATTTTTCTCAGCAATAAAAATAAAAGTTTACATTCTAAAAAACATAAAATCCAAATCTCCTATTTTTTATTTATTCCGCCTAACTATTGACAAAAAATTAATAAATAGAATTTATCTTGAAATTTTGTCCTTTCTTCCATTTTAAAATTTTAAAAAGTTTGTAAATAACTTTAATTTTTTATTTTCCTCCCATAATTTAATCTTTATAATTTCTTTCCATAATTTAATCATTATAAATTGAGAATTCCTGATAAAGGTAAATATTAATATTATTTCTGTATATCATTTATAATTTTTATACATTTATTTTTAAGAGTGCCTTTAAAATAGGTTATAAGTGAACGTGGGTCAAAACAACTTGTTCATGATCAATACATATTCAGGAAAGAGAGAACTATAAATCAAAAAACAATATGGAAATGTGTAGAGTCTTATAAATTATGGAAGGTAGACCTACCCATTTCAAAGGGCGGTGCCATACATTAAATGAAGAAGTAATTCTTCATATAGATAATTATAATCATGTGTTAGATGGTACTGAGATATTAAACCGAATGCTTATATAATATTGAAAGACATGCCATTGAGGTGACTGATACACCTTAAAAAATTATAAGCATTGCAATAGCAGGGGGTTCCCCATCCCTTCATGCTGCCCTTCTACCCATCGCGTCAATAACGGATTATTCAGCGGGCTAGATCTCTTATAGGTTCTCCATTACCTAAACCGACGAACAGTTTCTAGAATTTCCCGATATCTATAGAATAACATGTTCAGGATTGCTATTCCTTCAATATGACAGCAATCATTTGCAACCGAAACTACCAAGAATTTTGATATTCGCCACCGCCCAAAACCTTACATTGATGGCCGAAAGCAGTCACTTGATGCAGATGGCACATTTAAGACAACCCCCTTAATTTCACCAACTTTGGACCCTACCCATGTCCTATATCATAAAACGTACTCACAATTTTTGCGATATTACCGAATAAAACCCATATTACATATATAAGGCTCTTGGATGAGATAAAAAGATTAAAAAATAATCTAAATCCTATATCGGTAATGATCGATTTTGAGTAGGCGGAAATGATTATTCATTCATTTTCGTCAATAACTGTAAGAGGGTGTTTTTTTTCATATGACCCAAGCGATTTGGAGACATATACTGAGTGATGGAGAATTATTTAGATAAAGATGCATGATATGAGTGGTCTATAAAAATTAGACAAATGCTGTCTCTTGCATTTGTTCCCATGGATGATGTAGTTGATGCTTTTTATGGACTTACACAAACACCATTCTATCAAGATAATGAAAGAGTCTTATATAATCTTATAACATATTATGAAGCGAATTGGATTGGGAAAATTCTTCGTAATAGAAAAAGACAACCACCAAGGTTTTCAATTCCCCTATGGAATCAATATGCTGTTACATTGGAGGGAATCCCCAAAAACAAATAATGCAGTTGAAGGTAATTTTTTTAAAAATTTGCTATCTTTTTAATCATTATTACACGATTATTTTTTATAATAAACTTTAATTTTTTACTATAGGTTGGCATAGAGCATTCTCAGCTCTGCTATCATCGCACCCTCTCTATCTGGAAATTTTTAGATGCTCAACGGTTAGAACAATCGTTAACCAAAGCAAAAATTGAACAATGTATTTCTGGTACGCAACCCCCAAGATCAAGAAAGAGGTATCGAGATACGGCTGAAAATATTATATTAATTGTATCTGACTCTGTAAATTGCACGATTAATGATTATTTAAGGGGGATCAATTTTAATTTACAAATATAATGTTTTTTTAATGGCATGTTTTGTATAGTATATTTATATTTTCTATACTCATTTTATAAATTAAAAAAAAATGCGTTAATTTATTTTTGATTTATATAATAGAAAAAATTAGCCTAAGCATAATATATTTTTTTAAAAGGATTAATAGAATTTGAGAATTTTTTATAAATCTAAAAAATGAGTCAGTCTTAATTTGTTTTTTTTTTGAATCATGGCTGGGTGTATTTTTAAAAAAGGTTGATTTAAATTCTAGCCAAAATAATATGTAAGATTCGAGAGAGGTCCAAACCTTTCTTTTTCTTTCTTTCTTCTATGCTCAAAATCACGGCTTACATAACATTGGCTACTAATCAACACACCTTATGTGGTAAATAGGTCAACCAAAGAATTATATAAATATTGGTTGTTAATTTTTTTTGATATTACACATTTAGTAAATAAAATTAAGATTTTTGTAAAAATAAATATGAAGAAATAATTAATAGGACCAACATTCAAAATGATTTCTAATTAATTATCCTTATTTTTTAATACTAAGTAATATATAATAAATTGCAACTGTAATAGATACGCGCCGAATTGTCGTGCGCCGAATTGACGTGATACCTAATTAAACCACGTTTTCGATAAAAACGTAAATAAATATTAATTAAATTAAACGCGTTTTCGATAAAAACGAAAATAAATAATTATATAAAAAAATATTTAATTTTAACATAAAGTAACGCATTGCTCACGGACATATTTTATTATCGTTTCTTTCTTACATTATTATAATACACATTAACTTGATAGTTTTGTTTTAAGAACACTAACTAAAAAACATTGATAAGTGATTGTTTATTACTTTTTATTATTTTAGATATATGTAATTTACACATTTTTATATAACCATTATTGAAAGAATAAAGATATATTTATATACATCAAATATCCTATTAGTTTAACAATTAAATAGGGATTTTTAATTAAATTAGTGGTCTAAAAATAACTCTTATTTATTCACTATATTTTGATAGTTGGTAGTAAAGCTAAAATGATTTAAATTATTCTTCTTAAATTTTATGAAAGAAATACCATTATAATTGAAAAGTTGGAATTAATAATGTAGGAATAATTTTTTTTAGTGGATAGGCATAGATTTTTGAGGGGGGGGGGGGTTCCATCCAGTCAAAATCCTGTCATGTAGACGCTGCTTAAGTATATAGTAGAAAACGAGAGGATGAAAAGTCATCCTTTAGTTTATATTTAAAATGTGTCTTATTATATTTAATATTATCTAGCTTTTGAAAATTTATGTTTCCCAACATCATATCATACATTAGTTACCCTTTAACTTAATCCTTTTTCAGTCATGCGACCTACAGGTGGTGTGCCATAAATTGACACACCGATCAAAAAATTTTAAACTTTCGCAAATATAATTAGGCTTATACAAAATTTTCCCAATGGATAATTTATGGGGAACATTGATGCGCCTTAAATCTGATTTGTTATTTTATTAAACGCGATTTATAAATAGTACATATTCTTTAAAATCGGCAACCTTCTTGGGGCCCCAGTCAATAGATGGAAATCCAACAGCCAAAGTGGAAAAAAGATACTTGAAGTTTGTAAACCTAATGTCATCTATTATTAAATTCACTAATATGAGATGGACGCAGTCGTTTAAGAATTTAGTTTCCTATTAAAATATGCGTTCCTAAGAATTACACAGGTTACTTAGAAAATAAAATAGATATAGCATAGTATTTATTCAGAAAAATGGAAAAAGTAATAGTTTTTATATTAATTTTGTAATTCCAATTTGTCTACCCTAAGTCAATAGTGCAGCTATTTATAATACCTAAATATAAATTTGTCATTTGATATTCGATTTGTATTTTACTAATAATAAGATTGAATTTAGAAATTCAAATACTAATAAGGAAAATATATTCCTCGAATAATTTTATACCCATTATTTGATCGTATCATTCCTTTAAAATGTATTATTAGCAAATATTAAATAAGCATATTTGCTTTATATATTATTTGAAATTACTTCTATTGGATATGTTTATAATCAGAGGAATACGGAACCTTTGACTATTTCCTATTCCGAGCATTTACTAACAAATTCTGGATATGAATTAGAGATCTGCAAAAGTAGGCCCGACCTGTACGGGCATCGGGCCGGCGTATAATATTTTTATAAAAAAATCAAGCCGGGTCGGGCCTTGGAATTTTTTAAAAATATTATCTATTTTATATTGAATATTTTATGAAAATAAAAATATTTGATTTTATTTATAGAAACTAGATGCTATATAACATGTCTTTTATTTTGAGTAATCATAAAAATTAATTTCTATATTTAATTAAATTCGGGCTTGTAAATTTTTTAATTTCGGGTTCAGGTCGAGTCGATAAAACTTTTTTAAAAAAAATTCGGGCCGGCGGGGTTTGAAAAATTAGGTTCGATGCAGATCACTAATATGCATAATCACAATTTTTATGATTTTATATATCATTAGCGTATTTTTTTTTCAAAATAAATTTCTACATATATGATTGTGCTTTTTATTTACTTTAAAGAAAAGGTCGAGATACAAGTATATCTCAAAAGTAAGTTACTTTATAAGACTCTTTTTTTTACTTTACAAAGCAATTTACAAATTTTAATCAAGGAAATTTAAATAAAATTACAAATAAAAAAATATTCGGATTTTTTTTTACTACAATGTAATATTTATTAAAAATCAGCTTCTTTATAGAAGGACCTAATTGAGCCTTTGAGTCTCTTTATACAAAACGGAAACGATGCATTTCAAATAATATGGTGCAAATTGATAACAATTTATTAAAATTAATAACGCAATATTTTATTATTTTACCTATTCAAATTTCAATAATTGGTAAAACAAAGAAATTAATTTTTATATCTTCAGTAATCCTAATTACAAAATTGTTGGCATTTTATATATAATTCAACTCATAAAATTAATAAACTTCAATCTTCAATTTCAACACTTAGAATATACAAACGTTTTATAGGAATGCTAGATGTAAGTGAAAAAATTATATTGATAAAAGAATTATAAATTTGTAGAATATCTTATTTAAAAAATAATGAATATAATATTATATATAAATATTTTAAAAGGTAACAAGTTACTTATGTAGTTACATTCTAATTTTTTTGTTCCCAAAATTAAGCAACTTTTAATAACAAATTACTTTAACATTACTAATAGCTACCGCCAATGGGCAATCATTATAGTTGGATAACTGCTAATTCGGCTCAATTTTAAAGTGCCTAGAGGAGAAAATCAATCATATTAGCTTTTTCCAAATTTGAGCTATCTTTTTAAGAAAAACCCCGAGGCCAAAGTGATAGTTTTCGGGTAAGAACTTTGTTTAGTCGATTTTTAAGCTGGCTAAAAATTGGCTTAAACGACTAAAAAATAGAGTACAACTTATATCCTAAAATTAGATCTGTCTATAAAAAAAACTATATAGGTTACACCTGTAAAATAAAACCGCCATATCTTTTCTAAAAATATACCAACGATCTTCTTAATTATTTTATATTTATATTTGTTTTTTTTAAGAAACATAAATTAAATATTGTACAAGTTTACATAATTGAATTTAACATTATTTATGCGAATACAAAAAAAAAAAATATTATATTATGAAATATATAATTTCACAAAATACATTTAAAAAAAAATAAATACAATTATATCTTGCAAATAAAAATAAATTTCTTCCTTTTTTTTAAAAAAAAACACAAAATCCATATTTAAAAAAAATATATATTCAGGATATTTCTAAATTTAAAATTTATATCTGATTTATTTTTTAAAAACACATTTATAAAATTATAGATGATATAATATTATAAACAAATAGTAAAATATATTATTGTGAATCAATATATAATTTGTATCTATCAAAATGAGACGATGACTTTTTAAAGATCATTGTTACGCACTACCATTGTCGATAAATGGATCCATATTAAAATGATATTCAAATTTGGTTAAAATAAAAGGAACCTATATATAAGCCAATGGCTGCTGTAAGGCTAGTGGGGTTAGTATATATTGGATATAGGTGAGGGCCTGATTTTAGCTAAGGTTTTGCTTTTAAAAGTATAATGGTAAATTTAAACAATTTTTCATTATACTTATATATATTAATTATCTCATTTGCTTGATTTCTACACATATATGGGAGGGTTGGGAGTAGGGCTCGCTTCAAAAGAAATAGTTTAAATATAGGACTTAAAAGAGATTTTTAGTATGGAAATATTTATCGACACCTGTGTTTCGTAATAATAGCCCTTAACAAACAAGTTACAACAATCTTTTAATCCCTTATAAACTAGGGTAGATATTTTTGTCTTCTTTTAATTTTGCATAATTTTTTTTATTATAAAAATCGCATATTTTTAATGATTCCAAAGTTTTTTATAGTGGTTACAAAGTATGACACTTCGCAATGATAGAAAATTGTGCAAAGAAATTTTCTAGTAAAAAAAATATGTCAAATTTTTTCAGAAATAAATAATATAAATTATATTTGTATTCTTTTCAGCTTTAATATTGTTTGTGAGATTTCGAAATGCAAAGGGGAGAAAAAAAAATAATTGATGAGGAATTATGAAGTTTTTAAACTTTAAATTTATCGATATTATCAAGATTCCTAGAAGAAGTCGGGCTATTTTTCGTGTTGTCTAAATCATTAACATGATTAGTACTGTCCTTTTGCTTAAATATCTTTCCGATCCTATTATTCGGAACGATTACTTCAAGACTATTATCATTAGAATTATTCAATTGCACTCTCTCTAATAATGAAGTCGTCAAGGCCTTATCTTCGTCGTTCTTCCCAAAATTTTTCTTCAAAAATGTATCGATTCGTTCAGACAAAGTATTGAGACCATTCTGAAAGCCTAGATTTATCGAAGAATTCCTACTTCCCTCCATGATAGAATTATCATTTTCAATGGCTGGCAAAAATGAAACATGATGAAAACTATCGGTAGCAAATGTCGAATAAACGGGAAGTTTATGCTGGGTATCTTTATATGCTTTATTATCGGTGATTAAAGGAAGTTTTTCTGTATTAATATTGTCACGGGGAGAAGAGGTTGGAGATCTAATATTATCTTTACTAAAATTCATGTGCCCTTTTTCTGATTCTGACTCGGAAACATAATTGTCGGAAGAAAAATCCCCGTGCACCGGCATGGGAAGAGAGTGAGGAAGGGCGGACCTAGTGGATTGGGTGGAGCGATTAGTAAAAAAACGTGGGGGAGGAGGCGGAGAATGCCGAGAAGATTGATTCGAAGATGAAGAATTTGAGGATCGAGACCGGGAATGGGATGAGAAGGTGGAATCGGAAGAATAGTGGGGGTGAGAGTGATGTCTTTCCGGTTCCGAACGAACTTCGAGTATAGTGACGGTGTTACTAGCGTCCAATCCATCGTGGTCATCTTTAAAATTACTTGTGTCACGAGGAGACGAATTAACGTATTGCGATGTGGAAGGAATCTTTGAAGAAGAAGGAAATAGCTTAGCTAGCAAACTGATTTTAGAGGTAGTCGGGGTGGAAACCTGATGGGTAGTGGAAGATAACAATGGGGTTGACTCGTCTTGTCTGGCAATGGAATCGCTGAACAAAAGAATATTTAAAATACTACATTTAAAATGTAGATTTGAAAAAGAGGAGAATAAATAGTTTTATTTTAGTTTTTAAGATTTGGAAATAATCATGATTGATTCAAAGATATCCTATTAATGTTTAATAAAAGATAATTTTGGTGCAAATAATATTGGTTAAATTTGTTTAAGGCTGTCGAATAAAATATTCTGAGCCCTGCAATTAGATTTTTTCCATATTGGGCGCGAAAAAAATTATTGCCCGACCCATTTCGGTCCGACATTTTTTCTCAGTCTGGTGTTTGATCCTGCTGAAATCATGAAAATGTTTACGATTCAATTATTTTTCATAAAACATGGAGGAAAATTTTTAAGTCCTCGATGAAAAAAAACAAAATAAATAAAATTTTTGAAGAGGTTCAAGCCTGGTTTGAAAAAATCTTTGCCCAAGTCAGACCTAAATTCGGCCGGATATATCCGTGAAGGATTCTAATAAATAAAGTAGATAATAAAAATAAAATTTCTTTGCGGAAATACCCATTCCTCCTATTATGATGAAAGTGACATTTGCTTCGTAATTTCTTCTTTTTCCTCCCAAAAACAATTTTGCGTTTACAAATAGGACAATTTCGCTTATTCTTTGTGAGCCAGGGGTCTATACACTGAGAATGATAAGCTTTTTTTTTAAAAAAAATATTATTTGGTAAGAACTCAATATAACTAAGAATCTTGTAAAATTATAGACCCCCAATCCCTTTCATTTATAATTTATTTTATGAGATATTGGGAGTCAATGGGATGTTTGGACCTATTTTTATTATTTGTCAAACTTCATTCGATTAACGATTACATAAGTAAAAAATTGGTTTAGCTTTAATAAGTGTTACCATGTGAACAAGGTAATATTCGCAATTTATCGCCATCGTTGTAATCCTCTAAACAAACAGCACAGGTGTCCAAAGCATCTCCTATAATTAATTAAAAAAAATTTTTTTATTAATATATAAACCCAGAGTTTATAAAACCTGATAAAAAGGGTTCCTTCCTTTACCTATATTTATAAAAATTAGGGTTCTTAAGCTTAAGAAGGCTCTTTTCAAGGTTCGGGTTCAAAAACGTCAAATAAACTCTTTAAAATAAATCAATACCTTTGTTAAAACTGGTATATAGGAATTACCGGAAAATTTTAAAATATGATGTAGGGTTCCGGTTTTGTTAAAATCTAAAAAAATGGGGTTATAACTTTCGTTTTCTAGAATTGTCGCGGACTTTAGTTCCGGTTTCAAATTCCAAATAATGCATTTTTAAATATGAGTTAATCTAGTTAATAAAAATCATAAATGAACTTACCCGCGTGGTATTTTTTAACGGGTATAGATTTAAGGTTTCTAGCTGTCAACCTATTTCTCATTCGATACCTCCTTTCCCTCATAAATTTGACGGTCTAAATTTATTAAAAAAATATATTTCCATCATTCACGTTTTAAACGAGGGAATATTATATAAAAAATTTAAATGCCCCATATACAAATCAATGAGTGGCATTTCTAGAGAGTAGTAAACGTGTTCGACTCAAATATTTTATATTTGAGGAGAAACAGTTTCTAAATCAATTTTTTTCTAGAAAGGTCGCCGTATCTTATTTTGTAGTTAATAAACGTTGCCGATTTTGGATGATGCAGGATTAAGCGTCCTCATTAAGCAAAGCTTTCAGGCAATTGCAAGAAAAAAAATGAAAAGTGAATAAAATTTGGAATTTGTGAAATAAACTTTAAAGCTGCATTCACATTAAATAAATCTGATGCAATTTAATCAGAGTGTCGAACCGAACCTTACAGTGAAATTTTGCGAACCATAGCCGAAATGAATGTTAAAAAGAGCGAACCGAAACGTTAAAGCCAGTTTTAAATTAATTTTTTAAATGATTGTAAAAAAAATTTTTTTTAATTATTAATATAAATTTAAAAAAAACAAATTTTTGAAAAAACAAATACCCTTTAGAACGAAAGTGTAAATTTTGATGATAGTGTGGATTGCTACTAAAAAAATTAATTACTAATACATAACTAATCTACAAGATTATTTATTTTTGCTTTTGTTAATTTATTTCTAGATTTTTATTTCTTTCTTTTCTTTCTTTACATAAGTAAACATAAAATTGGTATTTGTGAGAATTAAATATGTGACACATAGACTCCATTTAAAATTAAAGAAGAGAACAATTTGAAAAAAGGTTATTATGAGTTGCAAGGGTTTGATGAGGAAATCACTCAAGAGTAAGGGATTATCATCAAAACTTACAAGACGAATGGAAAAAGATCTAAGATATATTAAAGGCTTTGCTCAAAATTTTTTAGTTGCGTTGAGATTTATCGATCCAAGGTAATAACCCTGAATTTACAGTTAGCGCGCGGTGAAGTATACAAAATTTGCGGCAAATAATACTAAAAATACAGCATGTGTATATACTTGGCAGCGAATTCGCGCTAACTATGAATGCAGTGTAATACTTTTTCCACCAATAAACGATGAAACGGGGGATGGCGAGAAAACAACTCGCAAAAACATGGAACTAATTCAAAATTTAAATGGCGAATGTGTGGAAATTGACATTTTGCCAGAATGTTCTTATAAACTTAAATGTAATTTATAAAGGATGGTTCTGAGAGGATTCTTAAGTTCCAAAATTTTCTCAACAAACACAATTCTGAAGACTAAGGTATTTTTATAATTCAATTCCTATTATAATATCAAAATATTAGGGCGGTGGGGGAAGGGGAGTAACGCTATTTAAATTACTGGAAAAATGTAAAAGTGAATATACCCGAACTTTATAAATTAACTATAACTCTGTTAGCAATTCCAGCTATACGGGTGTAATTCAGCTACATAGGGGTGAGTGGAGAGGGCATTTTCAAGTCTAAATGTTTACCCTTTCTGCGCAAAAGATGAAATTGAACTCGCAAATATTAGAATATGCTGTATTTTACTTCAATCTAATTAAATTTTTTTAAAAAATATTGGTTTATTAAACTGCTATAAAATAAATAATTGCAGCCTATTTTTTAATTTTTGTTTTGTTTTTACAATATTTATATATAGGTCAATTAAAAAAATGATTAATTTTTTAAAAAAAGCCAAAACTTATAAAATAAACTGGAACGCACGGATAAGTCGTCTGTAAATGGCAAAATCCTCAGGCCTAACCCGGTTTTAAAATTTTTAGACCTACAAGCAAAATAAGCAAACTATTTACTATCGTGTGGAATGGTTATATTAAAAACAACTTTATGGATATCACTTCTATGAAATATCAGAAAAATTTTTTTTAACCGTTACCTTGCCCGGCCCATTTATGGACCATTGGCCCAGATATAAATCAATTCAAAAAAAAACGGGAAAGAACTTAATCATTTAAAAAATTAAAACTAAAAACCGGAATGGACCCGACTCGTTTATACCTATCGATTCGACACCCTGGATTTAACCGCCATCGCAAATGTATACATTAGATTTTGACTCTCAACACTATTGAGAAAAATATCGCGTAAATAAAATGCAGCTCTAAATGATGAGGGAGCAAATGAGGCCAAAACGACACTAATAATATATTACGCCCTGAATATATTTCAATTACTGGTATTTAATTTAAAGATAATAATAATATAATATATATATACAAACATAAAATAAATGTGAGTAATCATAGTAATTAGCCTAGTTTTAAATTATTATTTTTTATACCAAAAATATGACCATCATGATAAAGCATAGTCCTATGACGACGGCGAAGGGGAGGAGGTAATTGTTTAGGCTAAAGGGCAATTCACCGGTAATCTTCGCGTAGTTCCTTATATTTTTTTTGTGAATGAATGAATACAAAATTTAGCTTCGAAATTGTTAAAACTGTTTTTTTAATATGAAAGATTCAAGTTTCTAATTAGTGTTTTTAAACGGCTCGTTTTTTAAAAACAGCTAACCTTTTAGTCAAAAAATATTATGAATGGCGGAAAGATTTTGCTCATAAATGGCAGAAAGGTTTGAACATCTATTAACAATGTTTCGAGGCTTGGGTAACATTTTTGGCGAAAATATTAGGTTAACCGATTTTAAAAATCGAGCCGTTTAAGACATTATTTTTAAATAACTTCTATAAACGCATAGTGTCCTCTGTACAACAAAACCTATATACATAACATCGGCTGGAATTAGAAAAATACTTTTTTTTGATATATGAATTCTTCAGGGGTTATATTCTTATATATCCGGAATAAAAAAAAATTAAAATACAATTTGAAAATAATCCTTTTATCAACTTTATTACATCGTGATCTGCAATTTAATAATAATTTAAAAAAATGGATAGAATAGATACACTATACGCAACCGATGATGAGCTAATTTGGATATGGATAATATCGTTGAATTTAGTTATTGTAATCAAATTTTCACAATCCAGGCAGAAGCCTATCCGATGCAATGTTAAATTAAACGAACATAATTAATTTCTAAATTTCGGTCCCTTGAAAGTTAAATATAAAGAGGTTTCACTGTAAATATTTTTTTGTATAATTAGACCCGATCAAGAATGAATCGAATAGCGCGATATTCGTATTCGATTCAATATTATGTATAATCTATCAAATAATTTACACATAGTAATAAACCATATCAATAATATTTAAAATAATGTAGTCTTTTAGCTAAGCTATTTTAATTAAATTATAAAATAAATTTATTCTTTAAAAAATATTTTAAAATTGTAAGAAATATATATTTTTTGGGGGAAACAATGTCAATTTCGTAAGGAAAGGATATTATAAAAAATAGTAATCTTTATGAATATATTTTTTAAATTTTTTGAAAAAAAAACTTTGAAATCTTTTCATTAAAATAAATTTATGATTTCACCTAAAGATAGATATTTTTATGCATAAAAATTAATTTTACAAAAAAAATATTTGGAATTTTTAGGTAAAATTTGATCAAGAAAAAGAAAATAAAAAGTGAATGAATGTTAAATAGCCTATTATTTCATAACAATTTAAATTTATCAAAAAATTCGGCTTGGGTTTTGTGATTTATTGTTATTTTAAACCCTATTTAAGTACCTACTATTTTCTCGGTTATATGTGGTTAATTCTTATAAAATTCGGAGATTCCGAAAAATTCTGCGACCAAAAAGCCATATATTAAGCATTCTTAATGTATTTTAAATGTTAAAAATCCTATTTTAAATAATAAAATAATTCAGGGTAAGGATGTTTTCTAATAAAAAAAATATTATTTTTATTAGAAATCAGAGTGACCTGCAAATAAAGCAATTGCGCGAATTCTATTCACTTTTTAGCGAAATGTATTTCAGACATTTTGATTTATGAAAAAAAAATGATCGAAACCCTAGAAAATTTGATTCCAATCAGGGATGTGAACCCTTCGACAAAAAAAAGGTCCAGGTCTAAAATTTGAAAAGACCCGGGTCCAGGGTTCGGGCTCAGGGAACATAAAAATAATGACTCAAAATAAGATTTTTTTTCTTCATTTATTATTATACTTCAATATATACATATTCATAATTTACAAATGAAAAATTTTAAAATGAAATAATTTATATTTTAAATGTTTTATTCAATCGCACAATCATAATATTTTCTAAAATATCATCCTTGACCACGTAAATTAGACAATATATATTTTACAGATGAAAATTCACGTATACCCTTACCTAAAATAGATAGTTATCTTTATAAAATTATGGTACCTGCGATGCCGGTACAGCCATGAAGATTCTAGATAAGATATATAATTCTGGATATATTGAAGAATTTTTTCCCCAGAATTTTAAAATATTTATATCCTTTATTCTCTTAACTTCTGAAAACTTTACTATTAAAGATGCAATAGGAATTTTGATCCTCCTTTCTATCTGATGATAATTTAATTTTTTTCTTTATCTAAAAGTAAAATTTCAAGATCGTTAATGTTGCTATTATTATTATCACTACTACCAGTAGGTACTATCGTAGCCTCCAATATATTGTAAATAATGGAGTTTTGAGTATGGCATAAATCCTTAAAATGGTCTTTAGCCATTTGTTTTTGCTCAATACTCAATAAAACTTGATATTGAGTCTAAATATATAGAAGCGTATACAACACTATTTTGCAATATTGTTGCTCTCGAATTTTCATGTTTTCTAATATTTCGTATAAAAGACTGTAAATTTTTCCAAATCTAATCGGCATCTAATCCATATTCCATAAAAATCAAATAAACATAATTGTTCTGATTGTATCTTAATATTGTTATTTTTAAAGGAACTAATACACTAGGTCCTTTATTTGGCACCAATCATCTTCCGACAAAATGACTTCACATGCTCCTATAATAAAATCATTACAGAAATCTTTCAAACTTAATAATCGTTCTAGCATCATATCAAATTGAGGACAAACGTGTTGTGCATTATCATTATCATTTAAATTAAAATATTATTATACAATTCACTTTAAAAATAATCAATGTATTTCTATAAAATAGCATCTTAAAAGATTTACATAATAAAATATTATTACCTACACTAATGATATCAATTTCTAAATAAAATAGAAGTCCAGGAAGAAAATTGAAAGAAAAAAAGCGAAGATAAAATAAATGATTCCACAATTTAAATAATTTATATTATTTTTTAAAAAGGGTCAACTGTCAAAAAAAAACGATGACGACGAAATAAAAAAAATATCAGAAATGACAAACTAGAAATCTAAATAAAAAGAACTATCAAAATTGAGCAGACAATCCAAATTGGCAATGATCTAAATATAGAAATAATTTATTCAAATTACAAAAATCGCAAATCAAATAAGGTCTTCTTTTTTATTAGTAATTTAAATAAAACAAATAATTCATATTTTCATAAAAAAATTAATGATATAAAAATCACTTTTTATCAAAAACGACAAAAAAATCTAATTTTAAATGATTAACATTTTAAATATATTAAAAAAAATAGTACAATTTATGACATGCCACCCCTTTATGAGCCAATGGCATGTACATCAAAAAATATAATTGCATACTATTGCTAATTTTCCGATGTATCATGTAAAATTACGCGATATATATAATTAGAATCATCGGATGTGAATATCGCGGACTTTGTGGGAGTCATCACGGTAGCAGTAATTGATTCTCCCACAAATCCATTGCATCATGATGTTGTAACAACGTCGAGGATGCTGATGTGCAAGGAGCGGTCTCTTGAAGAGTGGTCATCGCTCTCTGGAGAATGTCCTCCGCCGGTGGGGTTGATGCGAGACTGGATCGACTACTGGACGTTCCTATTAACCCTCCTCTGTTGGCCGACGGAGCCCGATGAACGGTAGGAAGCGACAGTTGAACCTGCGTTGGTTCGTCCGGCCTTCGTTTATTATTTCTTGCGGACCTGCCCGCAGAGTTGGTATTTATCGGAGCTAGGGGGTGGCGAGAATCTCTACTTATAACGTGACACTGGCTGCGGATATGTCCGTCGCTGTTACAGTTGTAGCATCTTCGCTTCCTAGGTCCTACGGATGTCGCATTTTCTTGAGATACAGGGGACTGGATGGTCATACACGTATTCTTTGGTATGAGAGTCACTTGGAGGTAACAGGAGCCGAAATCTATTAACTGACTGTTGGTGTGCATGGTTACGATCTTTTGCTGTTGATGAAAGTTGTACGCCAGTTAAGAAAATTGATTAATACACCAAAAGAAAAACTTATTTTAAAAATATAAATTATTATTTTTTTTTTAAAGTGTGAAGGGAGAAAAAAAAACTTTTTGGGAAAAAAACTTTAATTAAAAATATAAAAAAAACTTTTATGAATATATATGGAAAAATTTTCATATATATAGTGTGTATTTGTAAAAAAAAACTTATGGTATACACCATGCACCACACCAACAGTCAGTTAATAGATTTCGGCTCCTGTTACCTCCAAGTGACTCTCATACCAAAGAATACCGGTATGACCATCCCCTGTATCTCAAGAAAATGCGACATCCGTAGGACCTAGGAAGCGAAGATGCTACAACTGTAACAGCGACGGGCATATCCGCAGCCAGTGTCACGTTATAAGTAGAGATTCTCGCCACCCTTTAGCTCCGATAAATACCAACTCTGCGGGCAGGTCCGCAAGAAATAATAAACGAAGGCCGGACGAACCAACGCAGGTTCAACTGTCGCTTCCTACCGTTCATCGGGCTCTGTCGGCCAACAGAGGAGGGTTAATAGGAACGTCCAGTAGTCGATCCAGTCTCGCATCAACCCCACCGGCGGAGGACATTCTCCAGAGAGCGATGACCACTCTTCAAGAGACCGCTCCTTGCACATCAGCATCCTCGACGTTGTTACAACATCATGATGCGATGGATTTGTGGGAGAATCAATTACTGCTACCGTGATGACTCCCACAAAGTCCGCGATATTCACATCCGATGATTCTAATTATATATATCGCGTAATTTTACATGATACATCGGAAAATTAATAATAGTATGCAATATTTTTTGATGTACATGCCATTGGCTCATAAAGGGGTAGCATGTCATAAATTGTACTATTTCTTTTAATATATTTAAAATGTCAATCATTTAAAATTAGATTTTTTTGTCGTTTTTGATAAAAAGTGATTTTTATATCATTAATTTTTTTATGAAAATATGAATTAATTGTTTTATTTAAATTACTAATAAAAAAGAAGACCTTATTTGATTTGCGATTTTTGTAATTTGAATAAATTATTTCTATATTTAGATCATTGCCAATTTGGATTGTCTGCTCAATTTTGATAGTTCTTTTTATTTAG